CTCGGAATGATTGTGTTAAGCTAGCACTAAGTCGCTCCCCCATCCACCTTTGTTCTTTTCTTTACAATAAGGCTTTCAAATAAATCATGGTTGTACGGCAGTGAAGCATCGGTGTTGAACACTGTCATGCTGTCGATGATGATGATGATATAGAATTAAGGAAGTTGATTGCCAAGAAACTGTTATTATGCCAATAAAACGAAGGTTAAGCTTAAAACCGGCGCGAAAACAACTATATTCTAGCTAGTGTGAAAGGAGGAAGTTGATTATAGATGACTAGTTCAAACATGATTCCGTATTTCAGTGTGTCAGTTGGCATATATCACGTGATCGTGGGAACCACTGAAGGAAAGTCCTGGCGGGTGCTGTCAGGATATGCTTCAACAAACGTCTCTGCGATTGTTTTGGTCATATGACATCACGTGACAAGCTCAGTCAACAGTCCCTCGAGCTTGCATTCATCAGTATTATCGATTAAAATGTACTCCTGTTTCGACGCAATCACGCTGACTAGGTCACAGCAACCAGTCAGGTATAAATAAAGTAAATACCATTCGACCAGGTCGATTCTCGTCTGGAATTAATCTATATGAATAATGCTCATGTGCAAAATGATAGAATGAGGCACAAAGTTGAAAGCAAGGAAACAAGTATCGGTGAGATTATCTCGGGAGACAATCAGAGCACGAATTCTTTATGACATAACTTCGATTCGTATGTTGAAACATTCGTTAAACACTTGCTACAGTGCGACGGGGTTTGCGATGTCGTTGGGGGATGGTATCATGATTAGAAAGGTTTCTTCCCGAATCTGTCAGTCGTACAGAATCACCAAATCATTCAAAGACACCCACCTGCATCTCAAGAAACGAACCTCGAAATAAGTCCCTCGAGAGCGAGAACTCTTCATGGAAAACCGTTTCCCATCCATTCAAGTGAAAAGTAGCAGCAGAGACATAGGCAAGTAATTAACATCATTCATGGTTCCTTCAAGAAAAGTTGTTACATTTATCATTAAATTAGATTTTCCAACGTGCATGGACAAAACTTTAATCACCACCACCAATGAAAATACTTCGTGTCTTTCGTTTCAGAAGAGCTTGGTAAACAATCGGTAGTTCTTGTTACCAAGCTCTTTTGAAACGATGACTTCTCAATCGGTTCAAAACCTTTCCCAATTGATTGAAGACTAAAAAAGTTTCTTCCATGTCAATCAGCTATCCTGCAGCACCTTCTGTCTGAAAATAACCCCAGAATGCCCGGAACCTGCTGAGAGCCTAAAACCCCATCAAAATCTCAATAGGGAAGCCGACAGGCCAGTCAATTACTCCATCAATCTAGTAAAAGCCGATGAGTATTCAGGGACTTCATAGAAGTGCGGTCGGTGTTGATCGGTGATCACTAAACGCCAATCACACAGCCTAGACAGATGTCAAAAAGTGTCCTTTAAATAGTATGAAGACACCTTGTTTCCATACGACACAAATCTGAAGTAGTATCCTGCTCTACATAAGTGTACCTCACCGACTAGTGACAATGGCAGTTCATCCACTAGATACATACGGTTTGGTAGTCTCTATTTACTCGCGGTACTGTCAGTTCTCACCGTACATGTGTGTGCCACTTGTCCACCAAAGCTCTGCCGTTGATTCATTAGCATCTCAAATCACGTATAGACACAGACATCTAAGAAGCGAATGATCTCAGCTGCCTTTCACATGTGTTAACTAAGCTCGTATGAGCCGAATATCCCGTGTGTCGATTTGTGTGACAGAAATGCATTTTGCTTAAAAGTGTGGGATTTTATTTTCGGCCAACACTGGACAAGGCACGAAGCAACTTTTTTGACTAAACCCGTGGTGTACGCTTTCATTGAACTGTTTTACTCCCGGTAAACTTAAAAACTCTCCTTTGTGTTTCTGATAGCCAGTATAATCTACCTTTTTCTGCATGAACAAAATTACTGATGACCAAAACGTACTCTCCAAAAGGACCATCCGTATGAGGTGCAGAGAGTTGTTTTTATCTCAGATATATCTATATATGAGGGAAAAATACGTTTGTTGTGGACTGAGGATTGGTTTTATTTTACAAAGGTTTGTGTTTAGTATGGATCAGTAACCCATCTTGCGGTTTCGAAGAGCGTATCTTAACATTTTCTTGATCATTCCTAACAGCTTTGAGGCCGACTGCAGTCCCTTTACAAAGATCACTTGGTTCGAAATGTATTGTGACGAGAATGATGGTTAATACGGTTCCAAATATCCCACTGCTGTCAGACCTATATCCAACGATGAAAGTAAACACAGTGCTCCACCTCACACCTCCATCTAGAAGACACCTGAAGGGAATAAACTCACTTCCTTAACACACTTGTCGAAGTGTTTTCAGTAGCCCTGATGAAAACATCTACACTCTGGTTTCCTTGAGGGTTGGTTAACCTTCCAAGGAGGAACACCACGAAAGAAGTTATATTGTTACTGACCTACGTTTACAGTTCGGTTGTCACGCTAAAGGAATGCAGTTGTTGGCACATTTTGAACAGATCTTATTGGACGTGACAAATGACTGAACTTAGGAGAAAGGGACAAAGCACTGTTCGCGAGAAGGTATCACAGTTGCTATATGCATTGTGATTAATGGCCGACAGTCCGTAAGGTTTCGGAAGATAATCCATGTCGAAATAAGTGACAACAAATGATGACAACGGCCACCCATTTTCGGTCCGTAACGTAAATATGCATTCAACATTTGCATGCGCAAAACCTGGAGATTTGTGAGAATGAGTTGAGCGAAGCGGAGGATGAAAGCCTGAGCGGATTTCTGACAGTTTTCTCAAAGCGTACAGCTCACAGTTTCCCGAAACCAATCGTGCGTAATACAGGTAACAGAATGAAACTCTGTATTAGAATCACGTAAGAACATTATGTTGATAATCTGTGTGGGAGAGTTGCGGATAAGAGGAACGGTCTTCCAAAACTAATGAATTTCTGTCCAATGCGTGGCATCCTAAAATCATCAGGTGGGTGTAACGCATCTAGTTCCCTGAATGGGGCCGAGCAGCGATCGCAAAATCTGACGGTACGATTTTGAACACTCGTTGTAATTACAGTACGTGTAACACATGTTGCAAACAAAAGTACAAACCGATATGGTCAATCCGGAACTAAAGAAGACAGAACGAGTAGAACATAAAGTTGACGAAACTTCGAGGAATACAAGCATCTGATGAGCCCCAGGAGGGGCGAGGAGATTACAGTACTGTGTTCAGTCTAGAAAGCGAGGGGTGATTCAGATTCCCACCTTATTCCAGCCAACCACGCAGGCTAAGGTTTTCCGGGTGCATGGGATAATTAGCGCTTTTTGGGTAGCTGGCAAACGATATCTTACGTGCTGTGAAAGCCTGGATTAATGCACGTGCTAGGCAACGATATGACTCATGAGCATCTCACTGTTCAAATGACCTAGCCGTAATGTACTCCTAGCTGTAATTTTGAATTATTTTATTTCGCTTTGTGTGTTCTTTTATATGTAACTAACGTGGCGTGTATTGAAGAATCTAAAGCCACATTCCAAATGAACCGCCGTTCGTTGCTACCACTTTTCACAGAATGGGAGCTCCCTCTACGAGGAGACACTTAGAGAAAAAGTGCGTAGAAAAACCATTAACTGGATAATAGTTACCTCAGTTGTCCTATCTTGTTGGGCAGGCGAAGTGACGGTTGCCGATGAGAGAATCGTGATGTTTCCTGTTCAGCCATCTGAGGAGCCGAATACTTTCTGCGGATATTAAGCCGCGGTCCACACTGAGTTGTTGGAAGTGAGCTGCCGGGAATTACGCCAGTCCGCTCAAAATTGTGAAGGGCTACATCAACTGTACGGATGCCAGTAATCGGACTTGATGGTGGTTTGGCTGAATCAGGGGATTCCAAAAGGATAGGGTCTAAGCGGTGGTTACCGGACGACGTCACACACGATGGAGAGTTTTTCTCCATAAGAATCGCATCCACACTTCCAGGACCTACAGCGACAGACTGGTGATTCTGCGATAAGGAAGATCGTGAAGACGTTCGTACCCGAGTGTTATCAGGATCAGAAGCGGAAACGCCACTACCTAAGGTCCGGGCAACAAAGTCCAAAGACCTGTAAACAAATGTTCATAGACTGGAGAAATTGCCAACATTGTGTACTGCAAAAATGATGCGGACATTAAAGGTTAGTGTCAAGAAAAGCAACCAATTGGCTGCCAACATCAATAGTAAAGAGGCGGAATCAAGAAAATAAGATGAAATAAGCAAAAACTCGGAAATGACGCACTTGCGCAAGGTCGATGATTTTACAGGCGACAGGACATCGGAATCAGTGGAGGCCACAGGCTTTGATTCCTTACTCAATGGAGGACGCTTTGTTCGTGTGTCCGTTTTCGATTGTTTACCAGGTGCTGTCGTAACATGGACATTTGATTCTGGAGAGGTAGCGGTATGCGAATAGTTATCGAGTACTCTGTTCTGGGAGGGCAGATCCGACTTGCCTGCAGAGAACGAATTTTTCTTGCGCCTAGTGTACGCCGCCGGACCGCTAGATGACCTTGTTTGAATCGAATTACGCTCCGCTTCCAGCTGAGTGATTCGTTTTTGGATTTGTCTGCGAAGGAGCTTTAGTCGGTTGAGCTGATCACCTTGCGTCAACTCCTTAGCGGGCTCTTCAGCAGTCCCTGTGAGGTTAAAAAAAAGAGACGTGTCAATTCAAGCGCATCTACGAAGGTCTACGGGGCTGAAGTGGCGACTTCAGGCGAAAAATTCAAAAATATTTGAAACAACTTCTTGGCGTGCGGCACAGCTGACCAAAGCTTCAAAAAAGTGGTCACTTCAACGGGTAAAGTGTTGAAACAAAAGGAAATCGAACAACAGGTAAATAAAATCTGTGTAGACAGATTACCGCTTGAAAATAGATTAGTCACGTGAATCATTCTATTAGTTTCTTCCAAAAAATAACACTGAGTTTAACGCGCATGCATTGTACGGGGATAAAAATTACTCGTGGAAGAAGCGTCTTTGAGGAGGTTTTCTAAATTAACGGCAAAACACGAGTTCACGCGAATCCGAGGTATACTCCATGGGTGTTGCAAAGTAAGCAGCTCAGTTTGTTCTATCAGACTACCATAGCATGCCAACTATTGATGCTTTTGATGAAAACTATGCGAGAAAAGAATGCCTCGCTTTACAGCCGACGGTTCAGTGCATTCTCAATGATAACACGCGGATTCTGAATATGTTAGACGGGTGTAGCCTAATTGGTTCCGAATAAAAATTAGATAATTTGAAATGTGCAGGAAGTGTGATAAAGTGACTAAGACTGCATGTTCCACCCAAGTTGGGCAGGTGATCAGCCACTCATGGCCGGATGGTGAAAAGCTCAGCTAGCAGCCTTAGGTTCCCGGTTCGATATGCTATAGAGATCCAAGAGAAACGCGCTGCTCATGGTTGCTAACATGGATAAAAGAGCTGTATAGCGTTACTTGCGGTTAGGGCACCGATTGTCTTCATAGGCAATAAGAGAGCAAGTTCGGTTTCAGAGAGATTTGGTAAACAATCGGTGGATTTATTGCCATTTATCAAACCTTCCTCAAATGATGACTAACCAATCGGTCCCAAACATTTTCCAAATGATTGAAGAGCAAGTTGCGCCCTTTACACCACATTGATCAAACGAACAACCTCCGTAGACCGAAAACTTACTAATTTACCCCAAAAGAACAGAAGGGACGGGATCAATAAGTGCTGAACGAACAACTACAGAATCCCATCTTCATAAAAACATCATTCGAGAGTATTTGATAGGTTTCACACTCTGAAGTACTGTCCAAATGCACACTCCTGCACGAACCGAAATTGATATAAAATGCGGCCATGTATACTCACTCTCCCCATTATTACTATAATAATAATTATTATTATTGAACCAGAAATAAATGCATGAAACAAGTCAGAAGTTGACGTGCAATAATGCCTCTGTTTTGCTTCAATGTACCGTCGTCTGACCGAGTAATAAAACTTCGGAACTGGCCCGAAATAAGGACATCCCTGCAGTGCGCTCTCCGGCATGTTCTAACAGATTATTGATATTTACAAGCCTTGCCACGGGTCATCAATACCTTCAGTGTATTCGGCGGGGCATGAACAAAATCATCAGCAGCCTCAATATATTCTCCCATGAATTTTCAACGAAAAGAGACAGAGTATTGTAAGAATGTTATACCATGCCAAATAATGGCTAACAAGCGCCAATATCCATTGCATTCACAAACGTTAGGCTCTCCATTTGTGATTTTATAATAAGCACAGATTTGAACTCTTCGGAAAGAGACAAGCTCGTTGAGGCACTCGCCCTCCTTCGGCTGTACGGAAATCTATTTAATGACTGTTGCGAACGGCGCCACCAGCTATAAACTATCAGGTGTCTCTCGTACATTGGTCTGCCTTCGATAAATGAAATTCAGTAAGACTCGCGTTAACAAGTGACCGTAAAACTTGTTTCAGCTAACTGCTGGAGAGTTAAACACATAAAAAAGATTCACATTCAAAAAATAGGGACTGTAAAAGCGGTTTCCGTCCTTTGGGGGCATCGTAGATTGAGGTCGCTTACAATTTGACAGTAATACATTTACACGGTGAACATGCGAAAATATCTCCTTTTTCCGAAAGAGCGCTTAGATGGGGAGTTGCTTAGGAAGATGGAGTACTAAACTTCAATTACTTGAGGCCATATTGTTAGCCCATGACCACGAATTATTTCGGAAGCAGTTGTGAATGACCAAGTTCATTAAGTAGCTCCTCTCTAACCTGTTTGGGGCGTGGTTTTCGAATTGGAATTGATACTTGTCTTGGGAACAACACCTTCCCGAACAGAATCGGAGAGCGAAGTCGCGTCTTCGGTCAGGTGAGACTTATTGTTCATAGTCTTCAACGTAGGTTCGCCGTTATGGTGAGTAGCTGACTTTCGTTGTGACTTTGGGATTGACGAAGAAGAATCAACTGTCGCTAATGAATCTAGTTGTACCGAATCTCTCGGGAGGTAAAGTCTCAGAGGAATAGGCAATGTATTGGCCAAAGGTGGTCTATTCTCATCAACAGGATCTCCGGAGGTCATAGTGGTAGGCTGTCCGCTGCTGTGTGGAAGAAACCGAAAAGAGAGGTATATTCCAAGAAGTGGAGGAAAAAGGACAGCATCGGTCCTGTACGCAGGACCTAGTCATGGAATAAAGACCATTAGGTGGATAGTAAAATACTGGAGTAAATGAACACAGGATGGGAATCACGTTACTTGTTTGTATATTGTTGACGGATATAGAGTAGCATGACCTGCGATAAAGGACGGGTACCGAAATGAATTGGTCAAGCCAACACAAGTGCTCCCTGGAAGCGTACAGGTCAATCCATCAGAAAAACAACTACTGGCTTGTACAGACATACTCGTGCTAAAACCATCTTTTAGCTCTAATGGCAATAATATGTGAGCTTCTATCAGAGACTCACCCATGACGGGTCAAACTTCAGGAAGACAAGATGTCCCGAAATCAAGGAGAATTCACAATGGTTTTTAACTTGACAGTCTCGCTCTTGCATCGGACTGTGATTAGGGGGAGATGATTAACTGGATGTTTGCCACCACGTTTATTTCGAATCTCTAACTCAAGCTCTAATAGAAAAGAAAACTCCCATATCCCATGAGAAGTGTGAATCACTTGGTTGCTGACAGTGCAATACATTCACAAACAGTTTTGGTCAGCTCTGTGGAAATGGACAATGGTGGTCGGGGTTCCGTTCCAAAAAGACTAGCTCCGAAGAGGGACGGAATGGTCCCGTTAAACGATTACTCCGTAAAACAGGTTGATAGATCCAGACAGGTGACACCTAATAAAACAACAAAGAAACTTACACTTCTAGCTCTGCATCGTTTATCTGTAACTCCGGAGTTCGTGCGCCTTCTGCTAAAGTCTCACGAGAGTCAAGGCCATCTCCACAAGTCGGGTGTTCAGGTTGCTGCGCATTCGAATCACTGGACGTATGCGCTGCGTTCGTTGTCACTTCAAAGTCTCCACTCATTGGTGGTGCATGTATAATTTGGACGCGTTGTTTCGATCGATATAAGTCACCCATATTCCAACAAAAGTGCTGCTTCAAATCCAGCCAATGCTGTTGTGGCCCAATCACCGAACCAGGGCGACAAATACGACACCAAGCAATCACCTCATGTGAGGACATTCGATAGTGCTTCATAAGGTAACACGAAATCAATGTTCCAGTACGACCTAATCCAGCTGTAGAAATAATCAAATACAGAACAAGAATGGAATAGAAAAACGACACTTAGTTGAACTGAAGAACAATATCATTGATTGGGCGATTAAGCCAGAAACGGAGTAGACACAGACAGATGAAGGCCTGAAAAAAGAGACTTTGTTGACGCTTCTGAACGTTAAAAAAGAATAAGCTGGATGTGCGCACTATACCAATGCGTGGACAAGGCATTCACCAAGATAACCATACCTTCCTATCGATGTTCTATGCACTTTGACAATACTGGACATAGTAACATTGGTTGTAAAAAACGAAGTAACGGCACCGTCACTTAACTGTGCACGTCAGTTGACGTGCCAAAACATTGCCGCAAGTTTTCAAAAAGTAGACCGCTTACGGTGCTCAGACCTTTGATCCGTTTTTCTGTGCACGAGTTGTCTGTTCATCAATATGAGGGATGCATGAATGTATGTAAGTTTTTACTGTGTTCGGGACATTGTTAAACCAGTGTAGGCCCTTGCACAGGATAGAAATAAAGGGGAAGGTCTTTCGATTACCCAAACCAACCCCCGAACTTCCGCTTCATTAGGTTGACGGTTAGATCACCGCTAGAATATAGTGTATGAAAAGAGGTGGTGTTACTTTTCAGTACAGTCGTGTCCCAGTAACTTATCAGCATTAATTAGCTCAACGACATTTAGGATAACTTGCAAATATTGCAGATATCTAAGGTACAAATTCAACTGAGTCTGTTTCAAAAGCACACATTGTTCTCTTAATAAAAGACCCTGACACATCTGCTGCGCATTCTATTGAAAAACGTAAATGCCATCGCGTGGAGCCCCTTTGGGACTCTTGTTAGTGCAGCTTAGATGTGCAAATCAGAACAAACACCAGAAAACGAAATACACACACTCGTAAACTCTTTTTGTTTTAATGGGAGACTCAACTAGACCTCAGCTGAATCTCTGGTTTTCGATGTGTCCAGAAGGTTCCAGTTCCATTAGGGAAGTTAAAAAACCATTTAATCAGGCAGACTGGCGAGTGAAACCAGTCGCGGACTGTCTGTAGCTTACGATGTCCAATGGTACTAACAATACAATGAAATTCGACAAAGTAAAGTGGGCTGTGGAAAAGCAAAGAGGTTCATTCTGACTGCGAGTCATTAGTTGGACAGAACCGGCCACCAGCTGTTCACGTGCAAATCACAGTGAGACTTGTCAGAATGCAGTTTGAAGTTGGCTGGTCATTTGCCGAAAGGACAACAGTGCAAAGGGTTGGAAGGCCAAAAGTTTAACTCCAATATATGGCATGAGTAGATAGGGTTTGCTTGGAACTAGACGAACGCAATGTGTATGTTTACAAAAATCTGTTGGAAGTGCGTATTCGAAGGAGGGATTTGATGTGTCGAGTACGGCTTATAGCTTTATTAATTATATCGGACGTTGCGAGTAGTCCGCATTTTCAACAATGAATTATAAAACCAATTTGGTATCTAACATCTTCCATGTGATCCTCCTCATAATGGACAGCTTTGGCGATGTCTACAGGCGGAATAATTTGCTTGATAATGCGTCTGTGAATCCGGCGGTGAGTTCAACTCTTGGAAGTACGAGAAGGGTCATTTAGGGTACGACTCTGCTGCGGAAGCTTTATTTCCATTTTAATAATTTCGAATGATTTATGTTGGCTCCTCGTGACAGACCAGCACAATCTTTCGTTCCGTGCATCATGTTACATACTGGGTAATCGATTTTCCAAATCGCCATAGCAAAAGCACATAGCAACAAGTAGAAGCCAATTGGCACGCATATGAAAAGGCAGTCTACTTTTTGCTGCCTTTCACAAACGTGCATCTATCAGCTGATTGTTGTCGTCGGATCACTGAGATATCACCGCTGTCCTGTTCATCCGTTTATAGAACACGAAAGTGTTAGAAGTACCGTGAAGCTGAAACGCTGGTTAGTACATTTGGCGGAGAAATGCTGATCGGGCGTACTTCGAAGGTAAGAAAAGTCAGGAATGGAAGGACGAACAGAGAAAACCCCGGTCCAGTTTAGCAGTTTAGCCACAAAGAGTCAGCGGTACAGCAAGCTACAAGGAAAAAATTATTATCCAAAACATATCCCTGACAGAGTAAGATAATTCAAGAGAGAGGGTGAACTCTAAGAATTTGTTTCTACGGCAAACATTATTGGAAGACATGAAAGCACATACCATTATAGGAGAGAAACGGGAAGCAAACCATAAGCTGTTATTTGCATAATGAAGAGAACATTCAAGGATAAACTAGCCATAAAATCAGCCGGTAGTTTGATCTTCATACAAGGGGAACTGTTTGTCTGCAGTGCACGAAGAGGGAATGGAAAGTCAACGTGCGCACCATCTAAGAAAAGAAACCACTCCCAAAAAGGAGGGAAAGACACATCGATGCCTGAGCCAAACGAAGCATACTAACGTGTGGCGAACCGTGTTTATATCTGTCATTTTACAATGAGTGAAGTATGTCTTCCTCAAAACTTATGACGCACATAATTCGGCCACATCAAGGTAACCTTGAATAATGAGCGAAGGATTCTTCAGCGTGCGTTCTGGTAACAGGAACCGAATTGGTTTCGGCCGCGAATCCTAGAAACAAGTAACAATAGGAGCTATTGCGATCTGTAACTGAATCGCGAAATTCATCTAGTGGAATAAACTGGTTAGGAAAATGAGGCCAGCCCAGGGGGAAATATATCACTTGTGGATGACGTGTTCAGGTGTTGTCAGGTACTGATAGTGGCTTAGTACACAAAGCTACGACGTCCAATTTTTTTAATTTCCTCACTTACTTCAAGCAGCTATATAGTCCTAATATCTTATGACAAAGTAATCCTATAAAAAGTTTCATTGCAACACGATTAGTCTGATGTGTAATGTCGGGGCACTGGTTATAGCTAGCAATTACGCAGGAACCGTGACAACGACAATCCCAGAGATCCGGAAAATCGCTTGTTTTTGCAATACAATACTACTGTTTTCTGGTGATTACGTACTGGCCTACATTGATCCCAACGGCACCCAGTACGAAAGGGTCGTTACGTAAAAACGGAAATGGAACAGAAGAACACACAATACACATCTATGGTTCCCCGAATCATAGTATCCCATGAAATACCGAGTAAAGATTCAGAGAGGTCGAAAGGCTTGTCTTTGCAACCCATTCCATGTCCTAATATTTCAGTCTTGTCCATGCAGAAGGAAAGAGCTTAAACGTTCCTAAGTTTGTCGCCGTTTGCATCTCAGTGGATGGGTTAAATGGTTACTGATTTTGTCGTATGTGGCTAGGACGAAGAAAACGGTTATTACCAACCACCGCACGTCAAGAAAATACCATTCGAGTCAAAGTGGTCGCAGTCGTGCACGTGATTTGTCTGAGTTCATCGTTCCTGAACAACGTGTGTAAAATGCCGTCCCTCTGGAACATCGTCTTTAATAAAAAAACAACGGTACGCGCAACCGAAACATCATCTAAGGGTACAGAAGGATCAAAAGGGAAACAGATTACCCAATGGCAACTAACTTCAACGGATGCACTAAAACACGGTGGTGCCCGAACACTCAAACGAGGTCAGCTGACTACAAATTAAGGCACACCGAAACTCGCTTAAGTGACGGTGAATTTCATCCGAATCGCATGATAGCTGCATGCAGATGTCGGAAACCTGAGGAGAGTCCTGGAACCTCGACCACTGTCTTCATTAGACACTTGCTGACGCAAAAAACGGACGCTCGATGCGTCTGCGTCACAAACTAAAAACGACTCAATCGTCATTGTACGTAACGCTGGCGACACCGGAAACGGAAGGAGCGTTTATCATCCAAGTTGAACCCGTTTTACCTGGTATAAGGCGACCGAGTACATATAATACTGCATTGGTTGTGTACCTATAACGGTCATGAAGCTACGCGTTCGTTCAATGGTCACCGATAGGACGTGAATACGAGGCGTAAATATAAGCGTTCCACATCAGATTAGCGATCTTAGCACGATCTTCTGTGATGCTTCGTTTCATTGAATAACTGCTCCAGACCGTCCTTGAGTTGATTATAACGTGAAAAACTCATAAACCGAAAACTAGAATGAAAGCAAAGGTAAGGGCGCTACTGAGTGGGAGGATAGAGACTAGAATTGTATAGCGGAACTAAGTTGCTTCGTTTGGACATTATAGGGGTGCAACCTGTCAGTGAATGAGCATGTTTCCCTGTTAAAAGAGAACTGACATGCTCTTCAACCAGGTAGATGATATTTTGCAGTCTTAAGGTGTGCAATCAAAACGTTCATAGCTTGATGCATATCATCGAATGACCAATGTACTTCCTTCTCCAACCTTACTAAGGCGTCCCGGTAACATTACGTACGGTTGTATCTCTATCGATTTTTAGAGGCAACAACCTAGCCATAGTAAACGACCATTACCGATGAGCGCACCCTTGACCTGTTACTATTGTACGAGTTATCAAACCTCAACTGATCCATTAGCTTGCTAGAAGCCGGAAAGTAAAAGTAGCCGTGGTAAAAACAGGTTTTATGTAACTATCTCGAGGCATGATGGACGTCTCTTGGACGTCAAAATTGGTCACGAGACAAACGTGAGCAGCTTTGCCTAACCTTTAAGTGATCTAAGTTGGTAAATGTGGGTGCGTGAGCAGCCCTAACCTTTAAGTGATCTAAGTTGGTAAATGTGGGTGCTTCTAAAGCGGGTAGGCTTTTCATCAGCTGCGAGTGGATACATACCCGTGTAGAGTGTCAGGTATTTTCGATCTAGTTTCGGAGCGAAATTTGACATTCCGGAGGTTCCACCACCACCATCGTCACAACTTCCTCCGTCATGTCGGTTCACATAACTCTGTAGTTGTGCACAAACACCATTTGACGGGCCGTAGAATCACCAGTCAGCAAATCGCGCAGCTGAACATTTAAGAAAAGGTCACAGTGTTCCGCAGTTAAGCGTATCACCATATCTTGAAGGGTAATCCA